GCCCTTACCGGTATATCCCGTGAAAAACCACAAATGAATTTGCAAGGTTTCATAATAATGACGTCATCAGACCAGAAGTTACTGCAGGGAGAATTCAACAATGATCATTAAATTTTTAATTTAAATCCATCATATGATCCCTGTCTCAGTTTTGCCCAAAAAATGGCATCGGTTACACTTAATATTGACCTTTTGCTTCCAAATGCTGTGACGTCATCAAATTAGAAGTTGGGTGTTATTATTACATACACTTAATTTCCATATTTCCATGCGCTATTTTTACTTTTTTGACTGATGACGTCATTAAACCGGAAATGACTTGTACGTGTACCTAAATGTTTACTGAAATTTATCATACCCTACAAGATGCATTCTCTTTGTACATAATAATTGGTACTGGAAATGTTAAAGTTCTTGATCCTTTTTTCTGACATAAACATATTCATAACTTAACTGGACAGTGTCTGATGAAATAATTGTCTACCCGACCACTCTGCGTTTGTAACAACAAATGCGAACCTCTAGTTAAATGTGTTTTTTCCACTATACAATAAATCTGAAGCAGCTTATTAAAAACTAACCTGTCGGAATTTCAGCTCAGTTCATATCATACTTTTTCAGAAATCTGTGAAAAGGCATCTTCATTTACTTGATGCAAAGCAAGGTTTCCATTGAAAGCACTTCCTTCCAAAACGTTGCTATACGTTTTGACTTACACCCTTTTGTAAAATATCTGGATATTTTGATGCTCCTCTAAAACAACGATTTAATTGCACTCCTCAAACATGAAGGTCTGTGTACACAATATTTGTTATTTGGGCATTTTTTAAAATTTTGGACAACCTGCCCTAAATATTGAGCGCTTCTGTTCCTAAAAAAAAAAATGTTGTGTTTTTTAAGATAGAGAGAGGGGGGCTATTTGGTTGTTTCAGCTACTTGCCGAAACAGCCTTTGTTTTCGTTAACATTTTTTTTTTTTTTTGGCTTTTACGCAAATTTGCGAAAAATTTGGGGTTCGCTACCGAGCGCTGGCGGTAGGTACACTGCACGCTGGCCGGCCAGCCATGCGTGAGCGAACTCTTTCGTTGGAATCCGATGTGATTGCATGTGCGTGCCCTGGTCATGCATGCAACACACACGCTGTATGATCGGACCAAACCATTTTTGTAATAAAGGGGTGTACTGTCTTGGGAACAATAATTATCAATATGTCCGCAGCAGAAAAGACAACTAATACTTTTTATCGAGTCCGAAATATTTCTTTATATGACAGTCAGTTGTTCAACGTCACAATATATGTTTTTTCTGGAAATGTATTCAAGAAACAACTTAAAACACAAAACACTTGATTTTTTGACGTGCTACTCGTTTGTAATCACAACAGTTCTGTTGTAAAAAAGGACTTATTTATTCTTAGGGCAAAACAAATCAGCATCTGTTGCCACAAAGTAAGATTTTTAGCGCTCCAGTCAAACGCCACATGGTGGGTTGCATACTCTCTCAAGTGCTGCGGGAAAATGTTGTCATTCACCGGCACAGGCATGACAGGCTGATGCCGGGCCATGCGCTAACTTGCCGGCAGCAATTCCCGGTGGTTATTTCTCATTGTCAATGTTTATATTTCTCGCCAATCATGATCATCTTAGTCGCGCTTTGAATTGTGTTTCTTCATGTTTCCACCACTTTTTGCAATTTTCCTGTAAAAGGTACCTTATATCATTATCAATAATGGAAAACCTTGTCCTTCCGTGGGTGGGTGTGTGCGTGGGTGAGCTTGTCTTACATACGCAGTGTGGACTTCCGAACAAAAGACGTCCACATAATGTAGGTAGCAGCGACGAAGTGTGGACTTGCCCACGTCCACACAGTGTTTCCCCATTTCTGGAAAACAGGTTTAGAGGCATTTTTGGGTTAGGTTTATCAGTTAGCAGAATGAAGAGAAACACTAAAGGGAATCATTGAAAAAAAATTGGGTTGTAAGAGTTTTCACAGTTTGAGAAAAATGAGTTTTTCCACTGGTGTTCCTTAACTACACGAAAAGAAAGGAAAGTCCACACTAGGTATGTGAAACAAGTATGGGTGGGTGGGTGTGTGTGTCCGAATAAATCTTGTCAGCGCGATAACTTGAGAAATGCTTAACATATGAACTTCAAATTTGGTTTGTGTATTGCTCTTGGTAATCCTAAGAAGCTTATTGCATTTTGGCCCGAAAGGTCCAGGGTCAAGGTCACAGTGGCTAAAACAATAGAGATTTTGACAGCGCGATAACCTGAGAAATACTTTACATGTGAACTTCAAATTTGGTTTGTGTAATGTTCTTGGTAATCCTAAGAACCCTTTTGCATTTTGGCCTGAAAGGTCCAGGGTCAAGGTCACAGTGGCTAAAACAATAGAGATTTTGACAGCGCGATTACCTGAGAAATACTTTACATGTGAACTTCAAATTTGGTTTGTGGATTGTCCTTGGCAATCCTAAGAAGCCTATTGCATTTTGGGCTGAAAGGTCAAGGGTCAAGGTCACAGTGGCTAAAACAAAAGAAATTGTCAGCGCGATAACTTGAGAAATACTTTACATGTGAACTTCAAATTTGGTTTGTGGATTGTTCTTGGTAATCCGAAGAAGCCTATTGCATTGGGGGTCGAAAGGTCAATGGTCAAGGTCACAGTGGCTAAAACAATAGAAATCTTGTATTTATTCTAAGATCAAAGGGTTTAATTCATATACATTTGTAAAACCTACAGAAAAACACTAATGCTGTCAATGAACGTTCCATGTGACCAAGGTACATGATGTAAGTTAAAAGAGTGGTGTTATGTCATGGGAACAGTCACGGTTGCGGGGCATTTGTGTTTGTAAACACACCTGACTTTGTTTTTACTTGTAATGGAAATAATTTTTTTTTTTTGTATCCAAAATTCAACAGGCCCACTTTCTGCAGCATACTGTTAGGGGTTTTTGCTCTTTTTTCAATCATAAATTATGCTACCAAATGGTCTTACATTGCACCACAGAGCATCTAGAATTGCAAAAAATTTCGCGGCCCTTGAGCGGGCCCCGGACCGCATGCCGTAAGGGCTTCACGCTTCGCGCTAGCAAGATCCATTCCTCGCATGCCCCTATCCTTTAATTTCATTCTGGCTAGAACCCTGCATGGCGAGAACATGAACTGGCTGTTACATTGAAGACATTATGAACATCAATTTCACAGTTCCAACTCACTGAAAAAAACCTTTATAGCAAGTTTCCTTATAATGAAAGTCGTTACAATTGCCGATGGTATGGAAAATGTCATGGCATAGAACTGCCGAGACAACATCATTTTTTGATGTCATAACAAGATATTTCAACAGCATTTTGCTCCCGGATTTCTTTTTTTTTTTATAGCAAAATGCTCTTATTGCAATAAACAAACCAAGAGACAGTACGCACTTGACATCATTTAATAAGGCCATCTAGGTGCATGCAACTGCAATTTTTTTCCTCAGATTTTTAGTTTTTGCCGACCGACCAACTCTACTTCAGAGGCAAAAAATACAAGAACCATAGAAATAAAACGGAATGCCTTTATAAAATCAACTGCATAAACCATTGTTATCACATTTGTTACGTTATATAGGTTTTTCCGGCCAAGTTAGCAGATTTGGCGGCCAAATTGGTGACCAATCACTCATTTTTCCACGAATTTGAATGCATGTGAAGATCAACATTCAATTAGCTAAAAATACCAATCAATTTAACATTTGAAGCATGCGATTTCACATTTTAATCATGCAATTTTAACAACAGGGCATTTAAATTAAAATTGCACAAACGAGCATCAAAATTCGCCGGAGCTTCCAGCTGTGTAAGTTTGGTCATTCAAATTCACCATTAAGCAGGCATTTGTGAAAAGTTGCAAATGAATTCGAAAGAGATATGTCATTCCGTTGTTTGTTAGAATTAGATGGAGTGCCTTTGTTCCAATTTGGAAGTACCGGTATGGATATAAAGACCTGTCTCCAACAAGATTCTGCCAATACTCTGATCACCATGCACACTGTTACCGGTAGCTTGAAGCACTAGAAATCAACATGGCAGCTTATGGGCGTTACATGAGAATTTCAAATGTAGATGCTTTGCACGGCAAGAGATCGATGGCTAACAGACCTGCAGGAGACAGTATCCTCATCATTCCAAAATAAAGAGAGACAAAAAGGGACTCTAAGATGATTAAACATCTAAAAAGTTAAAAAGATAGGCCTATAAACAAATATATATAACCAAGATCACAATTGAAAACAGAAGATCAAAAATCCAAAGATAAAGAATTAAGAACATATAGATTTATGTGAACACGATAAAAAGAAGGGAAAACATCACCTAAGTTTACTGTTGTTGTTTCATATATTTATATATGTTTAGTTATGCCCCTTTTTTGTTTAATTTGTTTACATTTTTACTTCTTTAGAATAAAGAGACGGATAGAAGACACTTTGAAAAAAAATGAAACGGAAAAGCAGAAATGATAAAAAGGTGGAAGTTAAAAGATTCGCTTCGTATGCCTTCGTTTTATTTTAATTTTTTTGAATGCAAAAAGTGCTAAATAGAATGCCAGAAATGAAAAAGAAATCAAGAATCTCATGCAAATAACCCTTGACCAAACCGACTGCTGAATTGAATGATCACTTAAACCGAATGACATAACTTCAAGTTAGGATGAGTTAAACAGAAAAATGTCAGGTCTTTAAACGAATTTGAACGCCTGAAAACTAATACGAACCACGGGAATGACAGCAGGGCGCTTCTCCGCTTCAAATTGGCCACTATCAAGATGAATTCGAATGCTATTTTTGCAAAATTGGCTGGGAAAACCTATTTTTTATTTTATATTCTGTCTTTCTAAGGTTGGGACATCAGCATTACAAATTTCAAGCTTTTCAGTCTGTTGGATTGGATGTTTATAACACAAGAATTGTGCAAAAGAATTCAACATTTGTTTGCACATTCTGTTTTTTCCCCAGTGACTTTTGGAATGACTAAACCAACCATGTACTACTACACCAAGGTGATGTCAGAACTATTCCTCGATGCTCCCTTTCCGGACACCAAGAATACTTTCCGTGGAATAACAACCATGAAAGATTTCTGGAGGGTAGGTAGATAGGACATTTCAGGGTTCTCCCCACGTACAAACATGCGTATCGGCCCGATACGCTGGAATTGCAGCCTGAAATGCTGGTCAAATTTTTCTTCCCATAACACGCACAATTTAATTATTATACACCCCATTAACATGCACAAAATAATGGTTATACACACGCCATTATTTCATCTTGACATGCAAAATCTTGACGAAAAACCTGTATTTCTGACGCATGTGTGATCAAACGCACATGTGCACGACATGGAAGCTGTGCCGCTGTACGAGTTTCATTCCACAGTGGCCACTGGCAGGCCAGTGCCATCGCCATTCACTGGTTCCCACAGCGTACGAACAGAATCAAAGTTATGATGAAGGACCGGAACCAGTGTCTACGGCCTACGTATACCATGCTGTACATTTACCATATCTAGTGAACGGGCTAGACTGGTTCCCTGACCTTACAATTCCCCAAAGTCCATAAATTGCTCCGTTTTATCTTAAGTGGGGTCAGGGAACCAGACTACAGGAACATGATTATTTTTCTTAGTTTTTCCAGCATCTACAAAACTTCAAACAAGTCAGTGTAACAATATTTGCTATAAAATACTAAACCCCCCCCCCTCCCAATCCATCCATTTCCAAAAATTACAGCAACAGCAAATGTTGTATATTCCCTAAAGACCCCCAGAGTTGCTCTAAAATGCACCAGAGAGCTCCTAAAGTTAATCAATTTTCAAGGCCCTTAAGCAGGCCCTGAACCCCACACCGTAGCTTCGCAAGTTGTTGAATCACGACAAAACTTCCCCCAACAGGTTTGAAAAAATCCGTGGGAGAACCATGCACTTGACCTAACTAATGATGGTCTTTGTCTGTTGAACTGGGTTTGAGCCTTCTTGGCCCTCAATTTAGGCCTGTACATGTAATTCCTTCTGAAACCACACAGGATTTCCGGAGTTTTAAATTATTCCTTTTTTAAAATTGCAAATAACATGTTGGTCCCATATACTTTTCTTGAACACATTGAATTTCCTGCAAAAGTGTTAAAGCCCATTGATAGTGTTAAAGCCCATTGACATTTACGTCCTTTCAATGTGCCATTACAGCACTATTTGCTTATTACAAATGCAGTTTTATCCTGTTGATAATTTGTGTTTCTACAAGTTCTAGCTTTGCAGTAATTTAAGATTCAAACACCTGTTGTAGTACATGTCGGGGTTGTATACATCTTCAATTTACCATGACATAATTTTCCCGGAACAGCAGATTTAACATTGTTCTGCCTTATCAACGGTCTCACTGGTCATGGACGTGGCACTCTCAACATTGATGAAAAAACTGAGAATTACTCCCATGCTGAGTAAACAAAGTCCACCACTCTGAAAATGAGCTGTACCCAGCTTAAACGTACATGTATACCCATTCCAGTCTGAGGGATTGTGCATTTAAAAGAAATTCTGACAATGCTGTCAATCCGAAACCAGAATGGTTCATCTAAATATCAACATGTGATATTGCTACCCTTCTGCGGATGCACCATCTTGCCTAAAAAGGCTAACATTTTTTATTGCCTCCTATAAAACATCAACGTAAGACAGATAGGTTTGGTAAGGTGCTTAAACTGCAGTGCACATATATTGCAAAGCACCTTGTACATTGTACATCCTGATCAGTTAATCTTGCTAACCCCTTACAGCAAAGGTTCCGTGTACACTTAACTTAATCTAGAGCAATTGTTTTGAATGAAAATGCTAGTTTCACATATAAATTTCTGTTGCACATTTTTGTTGTAGTTTGCCGAGACCCCACTTGTAGACGGTCTATACTGGGAAAAGTGGTACAATGATGACAACGTGACAGGTGACTCCCAGGGCTACATCTACTATGAGAACAAGCTGCTGGGCGTGCCCCGTATCCGACAGGTGAAAGTCACCAACAGCTCCTGTCTGGTACACAGCGATTTCCGTGAGGACATCAAACAGTGCTATGCCCATTACTCAGAGAGCGTGGAGGACACACAGCCCTTTGGGCTCATGAACGGAACTGCGTAAGGCTCAATTTGTTTTCCTTTTTTATATCTGAAACTTGGTACATCTTTTTTGGAGGGTAGGATTAGGCATAATATTTTGGCGATCACATCGGGAAAAAAGCTACGAAGTTTTCCTTCCGAAAATAGCTATATATGTCAGTAGGCAAACAAACAAAAACAGAAATATTACAAGTGTGTTTGACACCAAAAAGTTGTTAGATAAGCGGTTTTTCGAAGACACTTTTTGTAAGAGCTGATAAAAACTTTAGAGTCGTGCAATAACATTAGGATCAGTCAGGCGTGGGTCGGATAACCGCAAGCAGAAATATTATTTATTTTGTTTATTCTCGTTTAAAAAGTGGTTTTGTTCAAAAGGTGTTCCAGGGAGGCTTAGAATGTACTACATAGCATCTGGACTTTTTAGGCAACTGTGACTTCGTCTACAAGACACTGTGACGCTTTACAAGTTCACAAAAGTTTACTTTCTACATTCTGTAACTGGCAAACATTTTCTTCATCGTTTGAGCTCGATTTTAAGGATCCAATTCACTACTTTAGTTTATGCATCACCTTGATGATTTTGACTCTGTTACCCTACGTGTAAACACACATAACAGACGTAAATACTTGTTCCATAGTTGTGGGGACATACGCTCGTCTGTATGAGGTATTTGTGGGGACCGAAAATGCTGTGGAGACAGCGAAAGTCCCCATAACTCGGTCCTAATTTGCCTGGCAATAAGAAACTTCCCCATAATGCGGTGACGGCTCGCCCACTATTGTTGACAACTGCAATCCAACAGTAAGAAGCATTTGCTATCATTCTGCCTTGTGAATGCTGAACAGTGAAAGAAAATTTTATTCATACGAATTCAAACATTTGCTTATAATTCCTAAATGCTTTTACTCCAAAGTAAATACTTTTGCTGTTGACTTGTGCTTCCTAGCATTTGCTAGTTTTTGGATCCAACGTATCAGAGCATTCAAATGTCGTTAAGCATGATATTTCAGAGAAAAACTGGTGACGTGCTTTAAACATGAACCCCTCACTATTTTAACTACCTGTATGTTCAGTTGACATTTTGGGATTTTTTTAACTCAAATTTCCTCCCCAATAACCGTATGGACACTATAACTCAATGATATTTCAAGAAACCATATTATTGACACTAAATGTCAAAGAGTTTTGAATTTTTGTGAGATTAAGTAATTTCCTCGAATAGCAGGAACATCCAGTTTAGTTTCCCCTAATGACGATGATAGTAATTTCTATTTGAAACACAACTTTCATAACAATCAGTCCCAGAAGACTACATTATGCACGGTGAGTTAGCTCTCTAGTTATGTAATATTCTATGATACATTTACTTGCAAACAACCAGAAGGAAAGAGTAGATTGCTATTCCAGCACACCCCATGGAATCAGGCAGGAACTGATCCATGTTGGTCTGGCAGTGATTTGAAACCTGGTCACAGAGGTAACCACTGTGCCAACTTGACTCCTTATATGATTCCTCCATATGACTTGCAATACACATTTTTTACTTGCCCATATACTTTATTACATGTACCTCAGCTGGGAGCACAGCTCAGAGGAGAGCTTGGATGGTTCAGGTCACTCTGGCCGATTGGCCTCATACGGTGGTGGCGGCTACTATTTGGATCTGACCCATGAAAAGGCCGACTCTTTGGCCTCCATCATAGAGCTCAAGCAGAACTTGTGGCTGGACCGAGGAACCCGGGCCGTCATGGTGGACTTTTCCGTCTATAACGCCAACATCAATCTATTCTGCATTGTCAGGTGAGAATTTCAAAGACCGAAGTTTGGGGTATCACCATAAGAAAATAAATAGCAAAATGCTTTCACAATTTGATTGAACATGACTCTGGAATCTCTCTCATCTTAGTGGGTACATTTGCATAGAGTTCATAGGATAATCAGGTACTGTTAATGTAATGTTATTGTCAATGGTAGGTTGGTAGTAGAGTTTCCACCAACGGGCGGTGCCATTCCATCGTGGACATTCCGCACCGTCAAGCTCTTGCGCTACGTAACTGCCTTCGACTACTTTATCATGGCTTGCGAGGGCATCTTTGCACTCTTCATCCTCTACTACATCGTGGAGGAGATCCTGGAGATCAAGGTTCACCGCTTGTCTTATTTCAAGAGCACCTGGAACTGTCTGGATGTCATCATCATCATTGTAAGTACACAGCGATAATGACCCAATGTCCTGGGGCTGCTCAGCAGAAAAAAATTTTTTTGTGACAAATAATTAGTCACAAATTAAAAAGATTGACATGGTTTGGCTCGTAATCTATCACTGCTCAGCAAAAATTTAATGCGATTGAAAATTCTGTGCTTAAGCGTTTTGGCACTGTACACAGTTTTGTGAAGTTCAGAAAAAAATGACTCCAAGTATTGATAGTTGCGTATTTGTCATGAGGCCTTGTTCCTCCATTCATATAGAAATCATCACTTATCAAGGGATTGGCCAAATAGTGAGAGGAATACTGGGCAGGATTGTACTTGGTGCCTCCATAATCAAGGCTTTCAAAGAAGGGTTTCTTTTCGCTGGTTTGCTCAGTCTATTGGCATGACTTTGGTTGTGCATTATTACTAGTACTTTAACACAATTCCCAATGCTGCTTTATGTTAGATGCACCCTGGTGCAGTTTAGAGCATTTGAGAGGTCCTTGAAGGTAGATTTTTCTTGAAAATGAGGGGAACAATATTCTAATCTTTATTAAAAACTGCATGAATATTCGACAATAAAAACACACAAAATTTGAATGAAAAAAATGTGTTTACTCTTTGTTTTGCACATTACCAAGCATTTAGCTACAGTGTCCATGATGTAAGCAGGCTCTGGGGGGCAACTTTTTGTCACTCATCATTGATGAGCTTAGCTTTGAAAAAATAGGGTCAGAAATAGCACTGATATATTGTTGTATTATTATTTTAATATTTTGTAATATTGTGGACCGCCATGCTTCCAATGCCAAATCCAACACTGATCAGCCACTGGATATCACACTATGAGGCACCAGCAATCATATAGTGCTGATCCTGCTGCATGCAACGCGGCCCCATGGCACACCACGCCAAACGCCTACTTCCAATCTGGTTTGGGCTGCACCTGACCAAACATTCCATGGGATAATTCTTCCATTGCCCATCTCTGTCTAGGTTTCATTCTTGACTAGAGATAAATGTATCAGCCAAAGAAAAGTAAACATTTGGTTGTCGTTCAAACGTATAACAGATCATATGAGAAAATACATTATGTATGAGAAAGTTTATTGCGTTCATACAAGCTTTGTGAATCTTGGGGTCCATGTTGCAGTTCATGCATGTGAAGTGTGCATTGGTTTAATTACTGTCCTGATTTCATCTGACACCAGTTGGGCCGCACGGAACTTGTATTGTACTTGATATAGAAGGACTTTTACACATCCAAATTACACATGCACATGAATTTTGGTCTTTGCTGACATTTCCCCCCACAATATCGTAGTATTAATGACAAATTATGCCAATACTTTGTGTATTGGTGAGCCACAAAAAGTGATCGGCAAAATGTTTGTTGTACATATCCGGCAGAAATTCTTGCGTATTGGGCCTATAATATGTGAGAGAACATTGCAAATTATGTGTATACATATATATACAATTGTGTTCTACAGCCCCTCTGTCAATTTCTTCATAAAACATTATGTTAAGTTACAGTTAAAATAGTAGTCTTCTGTCATTTCTCTGTTTGTAATATCCCCTTTTCCCCTCTCTTTTTTTTTTGGGGGGGGGAACCTTCCCTGAGATGCGACACCAATTGTTATCTTTAAAAGGGAGTCATGTTATAGAATTTGTGAACACAACTTAACTTGTGCTCTTGCTCTTGCTAGGTATCAGTAGTATGTATGGCCTTCTATGTCTACCGTGCTCTGAGAGTGGATGAGATGATTGAGGACCTTCTGAGTCGACCTGATCAGTACTCAGACTTTGAGTTCCTGGGCTACTGCCAGTCCATCTTCAACAACGTGATTGCTGTGGCCGTCTTCCTGGCCTGGATCAAGGTAAGGGCTTCAAAGGTGACACACAGGTCAAAGGTCAACCTTGATGGTAATTATCTTATATAAGCGGATAGCAAGTGATGTGTCACCTGTGGTCTCACCAATGAGCTGATCACAAACATTTATATAATGCAGCTACAATGTACATCGAGGAGGGATTGTTTGGTATACATATCCAATTTATGTAATCGGGTAAATTTTCTTTGGCCGTACCATGTATAACATGTTGCTTAAACAGTGAACGAAGATATTAGATGGAACGCTGCACAACGCTATGGTGATTGAAGCAATGTGTGTATTGTATTTTTCACACAGATGACTAAAGATGTGAACGCATCTGAAGGGTTAACGCAGATTTTTTTTATAAGACACAGGCTCATAATAAGGGCCAGGGAAAGTTGAATGCATTGTGTAAATCTACAGCTATTCAAAGATTTACTCAGAGAAACTTCCCCTCATCCACTTTGAGCACAAACCTACAGTCCCCGTCCAATCTCCCAAGCTCTCCTATGGAATCTCATCATAAAATGACAGTGTCAACTTACACAGTCAGCTACGATTGCAGGGAATTTGTGTTGCATTAATATGCTTTACTGTAACCTTTCTGCACCCATAGGTGTTCAAATACATCAGCTTCAACAAGACCATGAACCAGCTCTCCTCGACCCTGTCCAAGTGCGCCAAAGATGTAGGTGGATTTACCATCATGTTCCTCATCATCTTCTTGGCTTATGCCCAGTTTGGCTACTTGGTGTTTGGCACCCAGATCAAGGATTTCAGCAGTGTCGGTGACTGCATGTAAGTTGGAGCTGAAACATGCATGTGTTGCATTCTATGGTTGGATGGGTTTGTGCACAGCCTTGATAGCATGGATGACATGTAAAGGCTTGGTTACTACCCACAAACTGACTCAAGAATGCTGTTGACTGTTTTCAGCTTTGGTTGATGTTGTAGAGACGATGACTCAAGATTAACTCTTTGAGTGTGCATGAGGTGTGATTCGTAAATCTTAAAGAGTCATGGCTACCCACAATGCTTTGCATTACCTTTTTAATATTTCATGAAAGAATCGGTGGATAGGGTTACGGTAGTGCGTACAAGTGAATGCAAAAGTCAGTTTGAACAGGTTTATGACAAATCCTGTATTGTTGTATCTTTTGTTGTATCTCCTAGTTTCACCTTGTTGCGTATCGTTCTTGGTGACTTCAACTTCCATGAGCTTCAGGAAGCCAATCGCGTTCTGGGCCCGATCTTTTTCATGACGTATGTGTTCGTGGTGTTCTTTGTATTGCTGGTAGGTATTCAATCACATTTTCAAAGTTATTACACATGAACGATAATCTTGTGAGTTCTTATAAGGCTATGTATCTACTATGGCCACCTATAATCTTGTGAGTTCCCATTAGGCCATGTATCTACTATGGCCACCTATAATCTTGTGAGTTCCTATTAGGCCATGTATCTACTATGGCCACCTATCTGCCATGGTCATTAGGTTGTGGCCAGCATCACATTGCAGCCACCTGGCCAATGGGGCCACCTAGCCACAGTGAGATCTATGTGTCTGTTGTGGCCACTTCCCCTTCAGTTTGGAATGTATGTATGATGTATGCCTTATGATTGGTTTGGAAGCAATTTTAAAAAATAAATAAAAACAAGTTAGAGGCAATTTGCTTAAATTTTACGGTTTAAGAGGTGGATATGTCTCAAAACCTAATTTTAGGAAGAATGAGTAGAGCGTGATTTGAAAGTGTTGGAAAATAATTTTTAAACCCAACAGGATGTGGATCGAGATTAATTGATTTGCTCAATGTGAATGTATTTCACACAAATGAAATTTATGGTGCAATCTTGTTGAATACATCCTTTAGTTGAGAATATTAAATTGCAGTATATTTCACGGTAAAAGAAACCCCTCTTCCCCATAGAACATGTTCTTGGCCATCATCAATGACACTTACAGCGAGGTCAAGGCTGATATTGCCAACCAGAAGTCAGAGTTCGAGCTCACAGACTACTTCAAGAAGGGCTATGAGAAGATGGTGGGCAAGCTGAACTTCAAGCGGGACAAGATTGCCGACATCCAGGAGGCACTGGCCCATGCAGATGCCAACGCAGACCAACATTTGGACTTTGACGAGTGGCGCCACGAGCTGAAATGGTAAAAGCTGAGACTGCATCTGAATGGCTTAGCTACGGCTTGTAATTACACATGCTGCCTGAGACATGGGGGGACAGGGGCCAGTGTTGTGGTCAATTCTAAGTCAGTTCTATAATTCACAAGGATAAACAGTAACAAAATAATGTCATTGACACGGTTTATTTGAATAGCTTGTGACTTGAATTGCAAACGGGAGGACTTGTGATTGACTTGTGAGGACTCAACTGAAACACTAGCAGAAGGTTTTAATTAAAAACTAAAACTAATTTCAAATTGCTCAGATAACAATGAAAAAAGCTCAGTCACATTTAAGTGTAAATTAGGATGTGCTTACCATGCAGAAATTGACTAAGCACAGATTGGAAAACATCAGATGTCTGTGCATAATTGCCCATCCCACAGGATGACTCCCCCAACCAAAACAAGGGAACAGAAAAGCAGTGCGGTCCAGTGCTATTTGAGAACTTCCATATCTATGAAGGTCTTAGTTAATATCCTGCTTTTGTTCACTTTCCTACTTGTTCAGTTGCAGGTTACATGTTGGTTCTATGAACTTTCCTTGTGTACACCTCAAACTTCCTGCTAATATTTAAGTAGCAAGCATACATTCCTAGCTCTTTGACCCAGTTTTAAATGTAATCTGGTTTGCTTACCATCTCGTGGTGACCTGGTTAAGATGTTTGACGATGTTTGACGCACTTGCCCTCTGTCTCAGATGACTGGTTCAAACCTCACCTGGTGCACCATATTCTCTAGGTCATGCTTTGTTTGGTTGCTTATTTATCTGGGAATCAACTTACATAAAATCTTATAATTTTCCCAAAGATTAACATTAGATGTCAATATCATTTAAAAAAATATCACTCGTTGTATACCAGAGATACAAAATGCTCGATAAGATGTTATTTCCCATTGTCGTCCTGCTACATTCATTTATGGATCCATTCCATACTGTTAACACAGTTTTTCCAAATGTGTCATAGATTTCTGGTTGTCGAAACATTGCTCACATGAATTGGTAACTTTTTCCCCCCAGCCGTGGGCATGCCGATGCAGAGATTGAGGCAGTGTTTGCCAAGTATGACGTCGATGGCGACCGCATCCTTGATGCAGAGGAGCAGATGAAGATGGCTGCTGATCTGGAAGGACAGAAGGTAGAAAACAATGAACTCAAACTCATGCACCACCTGTTGGGCTGGGGCTTGGCTCCCAGTATTTGTATGTAAACATCAGGAAGAATCCAAACAGAATTTAGTCAGAATTAAACAGATATACTTCATTCTGGCCCAGAGTAGCCTGTGCTTTCTTATTGTGTTCCATTTCCTTTCCTTTCACCTTTTCCAGACCGATCTGAACAACCAGTTGGCGGAGTTGGAGGAGGCCCAAGTGACCACTACCAACCGTCCCCAGACAGCTTCAGCTGGCCGCAGCAAGAGCCGTGTCAGCTTCAACGATGGCCTGGACAGTGATGATGAGGACTCTCAAGCTGGAGGGGGGCGTGGTGGAGTCAGTGGCGTCTCTTACGAAGAGTTTGTTGTGTAAGTTCATTTTATATGAAAACAGAAGTATGTTTGATAAGAATTTAAATAATCTTTTATTAAAAAAGAGGCCTTGTTTGTAGTCAAATATTTTCATGGTCCGAAAAGTATCCTAAATGTAAGGTGGTACATTAGGAATTAATCCTGTGAAAGAAACTAGACAGTGGTCTGGATAGTTAAGCTTTAGATAATGGGTAGGAGTTTGGACAAAACAGGATAGTATTTCTTTTAAAAGTTTAACAAGAACTGCCAATATCTGTACATTTTTTGCATATTTGTCAGCTGTGGGTCCAAACACTCATTAGCCTTGCCATGTGAAGAACTCAGCACAGCCTCGGTGCCTAGGCTTGACTCCCGCTGAACAACAGTACTAAACCAAGGACCATCTAGAGACCCACAGGGAATGAAACTATGCCCCTCAGTGGATGCAAGCAGAGTAGAGTGGAAATCAATTCATTTGTGAAATAAATCTGAAAAAGTTTTGAATAGACGAGGAAATGAATACCAAAAGTTGATTCAATTAATGAACCAATAACAGGGTGTTTATTAGGTAGTTCTGATTCTACTTATGGCATGCTCCAAAACTGGCTTTAAGAAAAGACTAATGACACAGAAGGACCAAGGATAAACACAACTGAGAACATGTTTGAAAATAGACAATGAAGACATTTTCAAGAGTACGTCAATCCAGAGTCAAGCAGCAAAAAATCTAAAGACGATTTGATGTGGTTTTAGAATAAACACAACCATAAGGCTTGTACGTCAGAGGTGTGCAAGCAATGTTTCATTCTTTCATTTATGTTTTACCTTGCCATTGTTTCAGAAACATTAAGATTATTTATGTGATTTCTGTGAACCAAATAAAAACATTAGAAATTTCAGAGTCTGTTTGCGTGTGGAAAACACATACTCCTTGACAATTTTGTCAAACAGATGTTAGCTTTTCCTCATGATGCACTGCTGGTAAACATGATTTGTGCCTATGTGAAGTGTCAAACTCATTCTTCAACATGATCTTTCTCTGACTTTTAGGTTGAGTCGTCGTGTGGACCGTATGGAACACTCCATTGGGAGCATTGTTTCTAAGATAGACGCTGTGCTGGTCAAGCTGGAAGCCATGGAGCGGGCCAAGCTGAAACGTCGTGAGACCATGGGCAAACTCCTAGACAGCATCACAGAGGTAAATCCTCCATGATAAACTCCCCACTCTTCCCTTCGTCCTTCAACTCCCCGCCCCCCTCCCCCCCCCCCACAAATCTGTGTTCGTAACCACTACAACCTTTATATTCATATGTGTCTTTCCTGTAAGATTTTTAGTCATGTGGTAACATGGTGATTTTCTTTCTGAACTTAATTTTGGAAATTCAACAGTTGTTTCTTAAAAGTATTTAAAGTATTTTGTACATGTTTGTAGATAAGCATCCAAATTAAGTGATCAAATCCTAGAGGGAACGCTGGCCATTTAAAAAAGAATTCTATAACAATAGAGATGCAGCTTCTATGCATTTTCTCTGGAAGCAAATTCCAGTTAAAAACTCCATATGAAGTATTTAAGAGGAATTGTATTTCATGAAGTTGCTTATCTTTTTGTTTTGTTTGACAAGCAATGTTTTTCTTCTTGCTTGACACTGTTTTTATGTTCTGTTCCCCTAATTAGGAGGTTCTGTGTTTTTTTTTCCTTTTCTTTTTTTGGCCATCCTCTTTTTCATTCTTTTTGCTCGTTTTTATACCTGCTTAACGTCAAAGGAGAGAGAAATTAAGCAAGCCTATAAGAGTACAATGGGCTTGCCTTCTCGGTCTGGTTCCTCGGCTTCTGCTTATAGTGACTATGATGAGGTATATTGTGTGTGTGTGTGTGTGTGTGTGTGTATTCGTTACTGCTTATCTCAGCTCCAGACTACTTTGTAATTAAACTTCAGTTTGTTTTACCTGCACCATAATAAGAGTGAGAAGTGCACCCATAACCTGTAATTACTGCCTTGTTAAATAAGAGCTACATAACTCCCTTTTTCAGGGTGTAATGAAGTTTCCTAAACCTTTGCAAAACAGCTTAACCCTAACCACTCCAACTCCATCAAAATCCATCCCCCCATTTTGGCGGATTTGGGGGACTTGGTCCAGAAGGCCTGGCGTGACTAAATGTTGATGGAGTACAATGGACTTGGGCCTAATGGCCTGAAGCAGTGCTAGGGGTATCCGATTGATTTTGCCTAGCTTCCTGTACTGCTATTGTGATAGCAAATCCATGACTGTCAACCAGTGCGTCAGTGGTGGATTCCATTATGTCATGTCCAGTTTTGTATTGGACGCACAGTGATTGATGGATTTTGTTGACGCACATTCTTCCAGTCAAGATGTCTCTCATTTTAAATATGTGGATGATATGACTTTTTCTCAGATTATTACAAATCCAGCCCAGTGTGAGATTATACAACAAGAACTTGACTGTTTTCATCAATGGTCTGTTGTTAATAACATGAAACTTAATCCATCAAAATGCAATTTTTTGTTCATAAATTTTGAGCGTAATTCACCGCAGTCACCATTTCTTCACATCGGTGACTCACCAATCGAAAGAACTCACTGTCTGAAAATTCTTGGTGTTCTAGTACAAGATAACCTCAAATGGGACAAACAGGTTGATGCTATGTGTAAAATGTTCAATCGTAGATTGTTTTTCCTACGTCAGTTAAAACGTTGTGGTGTCCCCATTCCAGATCTGGTTACTGTGTACATTCAATATGTCAGACCTACTCTAGAATATGCGACCCCTGTCTGGCACTCATGTTTATCAAAAAAGCAAGAGGAATGTCTAGAAAAATTACAGCGCAGGGCTTTTCGTATCATTTTGTCTTATGAATATTGTCTCAATAGATCTTACAGTGAAATATGTTCCCAACTCAATGTTCCCCCACTTTCCCGCCGCAGAGAACAATTGTGTTCCGTGTTTGGCAAATCATTACTCACTTCAAACAAATTCAGAGACTGGTTGCCCCCGATTAGGAACAATGGGTTAAGGAACAATGATCATCTCAGCACAATACGCTGTAGGACTAACAGGTACAAATGTAGCTCTATTCCCTACTTAACTGATCTGATTAACAAAGATATGTGACCTCTTTTTCCTGAGTTGATGAAAGAACTCGTTGTTGGTCACAGTTTCTGGTTAACTGGTTAACTTATTACATGAAGTAAGTTCGGTATTCATGAACGTATAGAGCTCACTCAATGACGGCCATCTCTGTGGGGGGGGGGGACTGCGACTGCGTATTTTACGCAGTCGGATTTGAATGATTTTAATTTTTATTACTTGTGTGTATTTTGTTGTGATTTACCTTTTTATTGTATTCATGAACGTATAGAGCTCACTCAATGACGGCCATCTCTGTGGGGGGTCTGCGACTGCGTATTTTACGCAGTCGGATTTGAATGATTTTAATTTTTATTACTTGTGTGTATTTTGTTGTGATTTACCTTTTTATTGTATCTTTTACACGATGTAATTCTCTGTAATTTTAATATGTAACAATTTTTAATGTGTGTAAATTAAACTGCAATTCGGCCTTTTGGCCGTGAAAGTTTAATAAAATAAACCATTAATAATAATAATAATAATAATTTTGATGGACTTCGTCCAGTTCCTAGTAAAAGACGCTAGGGAGTTAGGGTTAATGTGTTGAGGCAGATAACCACAGTCAATGGTTTGATGCGACCAACAAAAATAACTATTTTTTGTTGCACAGTTTGTTGTTAATTTTGCAGTGAGTTTGCTTCTAAATAGTCATTGCCTTTGAGTCATTTGTTTGAGTGAAAGCTGTTGCAGATTATAATGAGGGATTTGCTATTTCAGACTAAAAGTGCTTCCTATTTTGTGGCTTTGATGATCACATAATTCATGTTGCTTTTACATTTCTGGGTGTATTTTTGTTTTGATGCACAGATCTCTTCCTTGAACTTTAATAATGCTATTGCGCAGTCAATTCTCATGTAAAAATATTTGCAGCAAATAACCTGCATATCAGTGTAAATATAGCCTTGGTCAATGCTCTCGTCGTCATTCGTCCCGTACACGGTCAATCGTCGGCATATATCCTCACGCGCTATGCACATGCATGTAAAAATACAGCGCGAACAGCGACCTCACGCGGCCACTATTTTTATATGCAAATCAGTTGGGGACGATCGAGAGCCTTGGTTCAATCGTCCATGTGAGGTTTTGGGGGTGGTGCTCATTATGTTAATAGCCTTAGCTGAACTTAAATGTCGTTTTCTTATTGGTCGATCGTTGCGTGGAAACTTGCATAGTGAAACGTGGCACCGGCACCGTACATAATACACGTTGTGTGTCTCTGCACACGGCACCAATGCACAAAAACTGTGGTTCCACTCACGTCCGCAAAAGGCGAATAGCTGCAAATAATTTGATGACGTCCGGATTTACCAAGGTGTGATTGGACACTCCACATATTAGCCCCGCCTACACATCTGTATTCGCATACGAGGTCGTGCGTTAGAAATCCAGCGCAAAATAAAGAAAAACATAAGCTTTTGCCGACGATTGAACCAAGGCTCTCGATCGTCCCCAACTGATTTGCATAAAAAAAATAGTGGCCGCATGAGGTCGCTGTTCGCGCTGTATTTTTACATGCATGTGCATAGCGCGTGAGGATATATGCCGACGATTGACCGCGTACGGGACGAATAACGACGAGAGCATTGACCAAGGCTAGTGTAAATAGGAAATAAAAGGGGAAACCTTGATATCTGCCTGCACCCGGGTGTGAGATGTGCAGGATGTTTGAAAACCTACATTAGCAGAGTTTACCTGTTTACCCATGAAAAGACTTGACCATTAACATAGACCTTATGTAGGTGTCTCAGAGGATATTCTATGTCATTTCCATTACTTAACAAATGAATACACAAAAGGTATATTCCTGTCTATCCTAGCGATACAAATCTAGGAAAGATTCCCACATCTGGCCATCACTCATTTGTCCCTTCAGTGACTATCAGCCATCAGAAAGTGTTAATATGTCCTAAAAAGTCAAATTTTTGCAGGGAAAATTTTGAAGTATTTACTGAGAAAACACTTAAAAATGTTCAGACCAGTCGCATATGGTTTGTGCGCAGGGTGAAAAGTGATGGCCAGATATGGGAATCTTTCCCAAATGTATGTGGTATTGCCCTCTAACTCGGCCTCCCTTCGCTGTCTCTCCACCCAGGAGTATAAATACAAATGTAGGTGCCATGGTCCAATGGTTAGATGTTTGACTCATGTACGATGGTGTGTGGATTCGAACCCTGCCACTTAACTACAATTGCCTCTCTCCACCCATGAGTATGAATGGGTACTTGTGAGGGTAGAGGACCGAATGTGCACTGATATCGGCTGCCGTGTGGTCTCATGGCCTGATGAACCGGGAAATAATTGTAAAGCGTTTGGAGATTGTTGATACTATGGAAAGCGCTATATATGCATTACAATTAGTTAATTGCCCTGATCTCAAACTGCTGCGAGAAACTGATCACTGGTCTGACACGCTGATGAACAGGGTTAACAACTGTGGAGCACTTTGAAAATTTTGAATATATTTACCTAAGCATCACGTCATGATTGTTTATTTTTGGTTGAATCTCAGGATGAGAGCAGTGGGGGTAATGTGAAGCGAGAGCAGATGGAGCGTCTTGTCCGCGAGGAGCTGGAGCGCTGGGATTCAGATGCCTCCTTCTCTCAGACCAGTGGCCGGGCTGCCAGCAGGGGTGGCAGTGCCCAGCGCTCTCGACCTGGCAGCTCTGGATCCCAGAGGCTCACCCTTGGGGTAGGTTATCGTTAATTGTCTATGGATAACACTGTGACCCCTGCTAACATATCATGCCATCTCCCATTTCACATTTTAGTTTGCAACAAAGAAGACTGGCATGATTTCATGGATTCCAAAATTACATGGTATAGTGGAAGTCCTCATCAGTGTCACAGTCATCATGACCAATGCAAACTTGTGAATGGCAATTTGACATATTAAAAGAGTATTTTCTGTTTTCTTAAAAGAACATCCCGAGTGAAGTAATGCCTTGGACATCTGCCATACCACTTCACAGAGTGGTGTTCTTTGTGGAGAGCAGTGTAGCATGTTACTTCAGTTTAATTCTATATTGCAGGGTTGTAAAAGCTATCCTTTGTAATTTTGCAGATTGACTCTAATTCTGTATGTTTCTTCTTTTTTATTAAGTTATATGAACTCTGTATGTTTCTTCTTTGTTATTAAGTTACATAAACTTTTTTTATACGCTGTATATTGTACATTGTATATTTTTACTCAGTCTATGTAAGCCTAATAATTCGACAGACTCCATAACTCTACAAACACTGTGACTCCTATGAAACACCTCATACTTTTTTTGAAGATGGTGTTTCATTTTGTAAGTCTACAGACTTTGTAAAAGTCAGTGATTTATGTCTCTGCTACGTCATATATCTCCAGTCTGTAGAATTCTGAAGAGCAGAACAACAAACAACCAAGCAGTCTGTGTAACTCTGTACTCATATTGCATTATGACAATACCATAAACATGTATAATCACAATGACATGGCCTATGCAGATCATAGGCTATGCAGATCCCCTTCTGTTGACGCTGAGAGCCAAAATCTACAGAATATCAGCTACTCCCTATCAACAGCATTGTCCCAGTCTGTAGTGTTCTGCAGTATACTATTGTTTGTAGGATCCTCAATTTCTAATCAGTTGTTCCCTGATTTTTCTAGAATGCAAGCAGAAGTTCGACCAGTATGTCAAGAGATACCAAAAGTCGCCAGTCTGAGGTACTCCTCTAACTCAGAATAAAACATGAACTCAAATTTCACCATTGATGATGAAAAGAAAACCGTTTACAGAGTTTTAAATTTGACCATCCTTTGTGTTACTTTAACTGTTACTGTTTGCTCTTGCATGACATAATACTTGTGTGCATATTGATTGAATACAAGTGTGGGATTTTGACATTGCAAGTGTGCTTTTCCTTGATGGAATCGAACAAAGAAAGATCCAGGCTCATGTCAGTCTGTTATTAGGAAGTTTGTAAAGAAAGAGAGGTTGCTCATTTGCTCAGACAAGTGATGAAAAAAATATTCAAATTATGCAAATAAAAGATATTACGATACTGTTTAAAACACATTTCATGGTGTCTCAGAACAAAGACATTGACAAATGGGGTGACTGCCAACATACTGCACCTGTAGAGGACACATTTCCTGAGGTCACAGATTCAAATCCCATTTTGGATAAGGAGGGGAATCCACACTGAATATTAGGAATGCTATAAGCAAATCTTTCACACACAGTTTAAATGTTCTGCCAGCCCTTTACAAAAGTATGCACATATCACGCGTGGAAGATGCATGGAAAGTTGGTCTTTGCCCAGCGTCCTATTGAAAATATAAAAAACTATAAATGGTTTACACTGTATCTGATTGACACTATAGATAGTTGCTTATCATTGAAAAATACTTGTTAAATAAAACTGGAAGGCAGATCCCTCATTAACAAGGTCCCATTTTGTTAAATTTGGGTTCCATTTAAACATTTTGAAAAATGTGGCTGAGGATCTTTATTTTTTTTCCATTTAAACGTGTTGGTTAACTGTTTTCTTCCACTTAAAGATGTACTCTCCGTGCCCTTCAACAAATTTGTTTTTTGTTCTTACAACTTTATGTTTGATATTAACGGGATTTTTTAAAGTTTTTTTAAATATTTTGGATGTGTCCAAGCCTGTGGCTGCTTTTACGCTCATACAGATGGAGTAGACTAGTTTCCAGTCCCTACTTTATTGATTCTGATAGGGGGCGGGAACCAATCAACTCTGCGAGAACTGAATTATTGCCATGCCACAAATAATTTTAATTTATGAACTAATAATTCCTTTAACTTGGGCTTATTTCTACGTTCGAGTGAATAGCTTTTGTATTGCTAGAGAAAAGAGCAATTAAGAAAAATAGCACGGAAAGTACATCTTGAAAACAACCAACATGTTTTGGAATGTACATGTTCATCTACTGATACACAAAAGCACAGTTTGTTGTTTTGTGCACATTAAACCAGTTGTAAAAATTGCAAGTGTAATGATTTAAACAGTTTGATAGGATTACCATTAAGGTATAAACATCAGTTTCAGCACTTGTGTTGATACGAAATCTGTATTAGCTGCAGTGTTTACAAATGGGTATTTTTCCTAGTGTATGCTTCGCATGGTGTGCCAGAAAAGGGACTTAAATCCATGTTTCCAAATTTGATGTTGATCAGACTGTCCCATCACGTCCTTTAATTTTTCAACCTTCTTCCAATCCACTCATCCCCATAAGGTGACCTCCCCAGTGAGCAGAGCCCCTTCCACCACCTCCAGAAAATCCTCCATGTCCCCCCGCCCACAGACAAACGTGTCTGAGGTGGTAGTGGATGTGGATGTCAATGTAAGTTGGTTTTTTTGCAGTGAGTGACGTGATTTGATCCCTGTTTGGTGACTGCTATTGATAATGCCATTTCTTCGAAAGTTTGACTTTCCCAGTATTATTAGTTACACGATGTGCACATACAGAAAAGGTAAAATTCCTTTTAACCTGTAAATTTACTGTCCATTTGAGCAAAATTTCCGGAATTCTTCGCTTACAATTAGCAGAGCCATGACATTAAACCCTGATCTGGAAACAAAGGATAAAGAGATATATGTATTAAAACATACAAGAGAAGTTTGTAACATCCCCCCCCCCCCCACCAACCCACCACCGATGTTGATTTTGTATTTTGCATTGCTGGTGATTTGTAACAATGCTGAAGAGTCACATTGGTCCATTATGTCTTGTCAGAAAACAAAAATAAACATTTTTTTTTATCGAGTCATGAGTTTTGTATAAACACCCCCCCCCCCCCCCCACCGGGTAAAAATTGTGGAAACACTGCCACATTCTGTGTGATGTAAACTTTGCTCAGGTAAAATGTGAAGTCGTGTGTGAGGTCGTTTGTAGCAACCTATCATCTATGTCATTACACTCAAACCGTTTGTTTTGTTTGTCAAAAATCCCTCATCTCCATTTAAATGTCAACTCAAGGCTCCTCACAATGATGATGATGATGATGTGTTTGAGAAGGCTCGCGCTGCCAGCGTAGCCAGATATGAGGCAGCCTCTCGAGCCACGTCAGGGGCTGAATCTAGGGCTACCTCTGGGGCTGCTTCTAGGGCCACGTCTGGAAGCTTGTCTCGCGCCACCTCTTCCCTCTCAGAGGTCTCCACCAGCACCTCCCGCCCATCTACCCGAAACCTTAGCCCTCGGTCGGACTCTGTGTTGTCCAGCGTGAGTTTGAAGACTTGTGTGTGGGTCTCAGCTCTCACCGAAAACTATTCCAAATCGGGGCCATTTTTGAATGCATTTGACTTTCAAACAAACCCTTAATTTGAAGACTAATTTGCATGTTATTTTTCACATTCTGTTCATCATTTTCAAGCATTTATAGAAAATCTAGAGATAAAAGACAAGAAAATTTATTTTGATGAAATAAACTTACACAAAGCCAGTACAGCTGATCTGACTTGATCATTGTTTATGGGTCTTTGTAACTGTCTAAAATGGCCTTTGATTGCTCAGTATGTGTGGATATCCACAGTTGTGTGGATATCCACAGTTGTGTGGACATGATATCCACAGTTGTAGCACCGTGTGATTTTGATTTAGACCAGGTGGTTGCAATGCAAACAACTAACAGTAACCGACAGTAACATTGAGTGTATGTTGATATTTCCTCAGTATGATTACTAATAGTTTGGTTTTGTTTCACTTTCAGGTTTTGAAAGTTATCACAGTGACTGTCTAGAGTTTGTGAACATTTCTATGACATGTTTATATGAACGGAGAATTATTGCTTTAAAAATGTACCGTCTATGCTTTTCTGAGGTTTCAACCCGAATTATAGAGTGGTTTTTCTTTGGGGGTTTTTGTGGGAGGGGGTGTTTTGGTTATTATTTTTCTAGCACTACAAAAGTTGTTCTTTGAAATGAGACATTGAACGAAAATTTTAGAATTATTTGCAGCCTAACAAAAACTTAGTTATCGCAGTATAGACTGGTTGCTGCCCCTGTATCAGATGTGATAATGTAGAGGCTTTGAACCAGTGTGTTTGCATCGCAAATTTGTGGAATTAAACATAAAAGCCCTTTCTCAGGGGATTGCAGATATTCGAACATACAAGGTGAATGAACATTAGCTAGGAGAGAAACAATTGAATATTGTGAAGCGAATGGACAGTACATTTTTACAATCTCCAATGGGCATTGAGCCTGATGTCGTAAACCAAACCTTAAGAGTTACTCAAACACCTCCGCTGATTTCCTCGTTTTTTTACTCCTCATGAGCGCCATTACAAATTGAAAAGTTCTGTACAAAGTCTTGTATGGTTTGGAGTGTCCTCTTCTTTTTTATTGAATTTGCAGTTGCAGGCCTGCAGGTAGATTTTGAAGGATCCAGGAGGCTTTAGGATTAAAGTGGAATGTCTGTACTGTGCAAGCCTGGGTGATGGTTGCAGAACCTCTTAGCAGAGACATGTCACTATGTAGGGATATAGAAGCAGAAATCATATTGATCACCACAGTATACTACAAAAGATTGTGTATTAGCCATAGTGAAATCTACTCAACACTTTTGTGGAACTAGTGTTCTGTTTGGGAAAGATTTAATCTCACAGAGTGGAGTGATGATCATGTGTTGTACAGAGATTCCCTAAAGAATTCTTTCACTTTTGAGCACACTCACAAAGTTATATCCTGATTAACTCTTTATGATTCAAAGTATTCTTCTTTTTTTGTTCCTCCGTGTACTTTACGGATAATAGAAATCCTCTATTGGAGACGATGAGTAGTAAGTCAAGTGTGTGCCCAACCACAATGAGTTGATTAGCTGTTCTGTTACTTCAACCTCCTCAGTACCATACGTTTTACATTATATTACATTGCATTGTTCTAGATTCCACTCTGTGCCTTATGTGCACATCTACAACTCAGGATTTTTTAAGTGTGAGACTTGCCGCCTTTTGCCAGGTCAATAAGATTTTCCATCTCTCACTTGGCAATTGACTCAACTGCACACAGAACTGATGTATAATTTATGGCATTTAGACCTGTCAATCTTTTGGGGTTTGATCCGGTTAAAAAAGGGTTCAAATCAAGATGAATTATCTTGCCATGTCTGTTTTTCTGGGTATTGACTCTGCGCGCATGTTACCCCATCAACAGTTACAAAAGGAGAGTTGGGGGAGACAACGGGAGGTACTGTAGATTGCATAGCTGAATGCTGATGGTGCCTGACGCTCACACAAAGATGTTCTGGTTTTGTGCAGATTCAAAATAACATAAGTTGAGCAAAGTGAGCACTGTACACCCATGAACCAGTATGCATAAGTGGGTGTCCCTCCCACTATGTACTTGGCTGTCAGAAGTGGTAGCACTATCTATTGTCCATGCTCAGAGTCCCTAGGCGACACATACATGGACAGTTACTTGTTCAGCTCAACAACTGAGTTTCATTACACCCGATTGTACAGGGTGGTGCAAAAAGAAGGAAACCCACTTTCGACAGCAATTTTCACCTACTTATTGAGCGTATTTCAAAAATTCAATTTAATTGTTTTCAAATATTGATCTTTAAACATAAGTGACCCAAAAAAATTGCACATGCATATTTTGTCTCTGAGACATGGTAGTTTAAAAATTTCATGTGCCAAACTTGTTTGTCCACGGACGGCTTTATTCCATCCGCTTGACTGAGCTCCAGAGCTTGATTTGAAGGGGAAAAAACACTTCACTAGACTTACACGTGGACAACAGTAATTTTAGTGACTTGTATTCAATTTTTTATAAAGATTTTTTCACCATGTGTGGTTGAAGAGCTATACTGTACTAAATTATAAAAAAATCTCAGTTCAAAAAAGTTAAGTAAGTAGGTTATTCCTGTCAAATGTGGGTTTCCTTCTTTTTCACCACCCTGTGTATAGAGAGTCATCAATATGTCATGCACTAAACGGTACATTTTGTCACCTGAGCAATGTTAACCCCAATGAAAGGTAGCATTCTTTCTCTCCTTCCTGCAGGACTCAAACAACATGTCAACAAGCAATGTGTAAAGATGTCATAACTGCAACTGCTAAAATGATAACACATTGGCAAGAGCTTTTCAGTTCATTGTGGAACTCCCCATCAAGAAAAACGATTTCGTCTGCGAGGATTAAATTGCAAAACCTTATTGCTACAGTTCCTCTTGATATCACAGCCTACTGATTACCCAACTTATATGACCATGATCTATTTCATTTGGTTGCAGTGATGATTGGAACCAAATCGGTGACATTATGTCATTTTATGTCCTTAAGGCTAAGCCATTGATCAAATATTGAACCAGAACTATGTTGGACTTTCATTTATTTTCACCACAATTACCATCAAATCAAAGTATTAGAACAGATTATTAAAAGGATAAATTTAATGTACATTTATTGGTAAAAAGTGTGTATATGTAGGCATGCTGTTGTAGTTGTACAAAGAACATAATTTTTTTCCTAGTGTTGTAAGAGGAAAAAATCAATCTCTCTTTGCATCAAAATGCATCATCATTTTCCCTTAGATGTTTGAAGGTTCGTTCTGAATCTCAGGAAAAGGTGTATAATTCATTTAAAAACTAGATACCAATTTTGTGAATATTTGAGTAAATCTACTTATTCATGAATAGTAAGTGAGTTATATATACTGTCATTTGTAGTAATTGTGAGACTTGTGAAATGTGACAGATTCTGATGCTTGCATGTTTGAACTGTAATTCCTAGCGCATTTTACTGTATTAGAATTGTCAAATAGGCTGTTTTTCCCCACAAATATATCAATATTTCGCAAGTTGTAACCGCAGAATGTGATGTAGAAAAATGAACGAAAAGTGCCTTTGGAATGTTGTATTTGTACAAATTGCCTTGTGTTCATTGTGATTGCCGTGGTAGGTGATGAGACACAAATATTCCTTGCATATTATTTTGTGATATTCTTCAGTACTTAAATTGTAACTGTTTAATAAATTTAGCCTTAACCAAAGCTTCAGTACCAACAATATTCAACTAATACATTTGCATTTGTGCAGTGAAATATAGAACTGGTTTAGCTTTTTCCTAATTGTGATCGTTAGGAATTCAGTGCCTTCTAATTCTTGTAAACATTTGAAAATTGCACATTTTATCTGAAATTTTCGGTATGATTCCGTATAAGTATTTTTTGCCATCTTTCTCTTTGCTTTGCCCTAAACTGCTCAAGCATTCTTTGGTATTCACCTGGCCCTATCAAAGTATCTATTCTGTATATATTGTAAAATATTGTCAAATTACAGCAGGACATAGTTTTATTTATATTAAATTTATCTTTTAGATTTGAATATGTTCTATTTCTTGGAATTACAATTTATTTCATGTACAAGACTCACTCCTTTTAACGTTTTAGTGTTTACGTTTGTGTGTATGTGCACCATTTGGCCCTCTTTACTCTCTATTCTGGTACTCTTATTTTCCTATTTTTCAAATAGTTATTTATCTGCAGGGAATGCAGGGTTTGTTTTTCAATGTTGCTTTCAAAGTTATTTTCAGACAGTATTTCCCCTTCAGCATATTATTTGATTGGTACAAATTTTGCTTTTTATTTTAAGAAAGATAAACAAGAAGTACAAATTGTTATTAAGATATCTGTATCATTACGGACTGTCTTGTACTACAAAACAATGCTATTCTCTCCAGCTTAGAATTTTCAACTCTCCTTTTGTATTGCAGTATGTTGTCTTGTGTTGAAGGTATTATTTTTGTACATTTTCCCTTGTAATTTCAGCATGTTTTGGACAACGCTTGTACTACTTTCGTGCCTTAAACATTATATTTTTCTTGTGTCTTTTAACTGAAATATATGAGAATTCACCTTGATAAGAACAAAATCCAGACAGTGCCTTTGCCGTTATGTAACAATTATAGGGGGGGGGGGGTCTTCAATATATAGTAATTGCTTGCATCGTAAAGAAAAATTGCATCACTCTTTAAAATGAACACGTTGTTATATTAGGGAGAAGCCATCCAATTTTTTGGAATGATTATTCCCCAACTAAATTAATGTAAAAGCTTTAAAACTTAGGACATCGTAAGTCATTCAGTGGGAGTGTTCGTGTTAAGTAAATGTATGTTGAAGTAACCCTTCATTGTCCATTTAAAGATAGCTGATTCAGAATCAGACAAGAAAATCACTCTGAAAGACAAAATACGCCTGCAATATGTATAGCCTGTGCTGTCTTTGTTAAAAAGCATCTTTTTTTTCAATTGCTTTTATTTGGCAATAGAAATTCACTTTTGATTGAGACATTGAAAAAAAAAAAATTGTTACATATTTAGTTATGGAATAATAAGGACTGAACTAAATTTGAATGATTTGCTGACTAACAGATATCCCTCTTTCCTATCAGTATCGATATTGTAGGGATGGGCAACCAGTCTACTCGCAGGGCAGATCTATTTGCATGCAAAGGCAACCCAAAGTATTAGTAAAGCCTTTTTCAGAGGCATTTCTGCACAAAATGGAAATAAAGTAGTTTTGTCGTTTAAAGAAACATACAATTTAAAAAAATATGAAAGGAGAAAACATTTGAATTTGTTTAAGAGCACGGAGAGTACATCTTTAACTAGAAGCCATGTGTGTTGGCGTGTTTTGGCCATGACTTTCCTTTTGCCTGTTGCTGTTATGACAATATTGCCTTCTTTTGAATTTATTTCTTATACTTGCATTGTAATATAGTGCATGGACAATTATAATACATGATGTAGCTGCTCAACTAATGTAGAATATTCTTTACTAAGTTGTCATGGTCATTTGAAGTTTGACACTGTAAAAAAAAAAGAAATTCCACCTTTCATTATAGCTCTGTGTGCTTAAAGTATATCTGTATTTATGTAACTGAAGCAATATTGTATTCTGATTGCAACAATCTTTGTTAAAAGCTGACTAATGCACACTTATACCCAACAAACTTTGAACTTGAAAGTGAGACATTTAAAATATAGAAGACATTGGGTTTTTTTTTGAAGTATTATTATTATTATTATTTGTTTGGCTTGCTGCTCATAATACATGTAGAAAATACTTCAGCTTGATTGTGGTTTTAACCAAGAAAGGTAAAATGGACAATGAAGTCCCCACACAAATTCCCAGTAATTATGATTTCTTTTCATATTTGGCGCATCTTCTCAGCTTTAAACAAGGAGCCGTAACAATAGATGTTTTATTTAATTTAAAAAGAAGTATTGTGAATATAGAAATAGATTTAGGTCAGAGGTCATTGCATTCAACATTAAGAAAATATCCAACTTGCAATACGTGTTTAAGGGTTATCTAAATGGTGAACAAAAATCCAACAAACGAATGATTGTATTTAGACACAGCACCAAAAACCTTATTTACTTATATTTTTTGGATGTATCAAAATGGTCTGTGTCTCATTACTAAGCGATAGTTTCAAGGTTTGTTAGTCTTGCCTCAAGCTTCAAGTTGCTCTCCCCGTGTTGTTTTCAGGTTTCACCCTGAAAATATACAGATTTGCTTGCGAAATTGATATTTTTTCGAGCAATGCAAAAATTGTCACTTTTGAAATTCGTGTGCAAAGTAACACACAATAAAAACGATTTTTCAGAGGTTTGAAAACATCCAAAATAGAGAAAAAGTAATAATTTTCTGTTTAAATAAAACAAACAACCCCGTTTGGAGAAAAAGCACGAATTCAGCAACTTTAAGATCAAAGAAGGGTGTCATTTAGAGTTCAAGTAACAAGGGCGGATCCAGGCCAACTAATTTGTTTTGTTCCCCCCCCCCCCCAAAAAAAAGTGGGTCCAAAAATGTTTTGCCCCATATGAAAAGCATTGGGTGTACTATAGGACTCTTGTGCATGGCAATGGTGCATAGTGGCGCAATTGTAATGCTGTACACAGAGGCTGCCTTTTTTGCGACATCATCACTTTAAAAAAAAAAATGGGTTCTGTTCTGGGGGGGGGGGGCACGGCCCCGCTGCTCCCCCCCCCCCCCCCCCGGATCTGCTGTTGTTAAGTAATTACCTCAGTCAAGACGTTAGATGTGGCTGCATTTTTTCCCAACACAGTTCAATAGTCAAACCGTTTCATACAAGTTTACTGATGTCGATGCAAATTGCACATATCTTTTCACCTCCTGCAATAAGAGCGGAGTAGGCCCTGTAATACACTGTTTTCAATGAAAATGATGTTTGATTGGAGACAACAAAACTGGAAATGCAAGGATCTGTAATAAAACATTGACCAAGTGTGATAGTATCTTAGTTTCGTAATGTGTGCTGATTTATTTTTTAAATTAAACAAAGCACTATCAACACGGAGGATATTGTGCGTTGTTCAGTTGGATAATGTCAGAGAGAATCTGTTGAAGCTAAAAGTATGTATGGTGTGTTTGACCCGGAATTTTGTACAACTCCCCCCCCCCCCCCAAGTTATACTTTATATCAGTCTACGCCGTGTCTAGTTCAACATACTGTCTTTCATATTGCTACATACAATCGGCAATTTAAATGAGCGTTTAAACCCGGGAAGCCAATATTTCATTGACAGAACGTGAATAATCAGGAGAGTTGTGCTAATTCTCATGCATATTTTGCGTAAATGCCGCTTAATATTCCACCTCACTTAAAAAAGACCTACAAATTTTAAACGAATAATAATTTCATTATGACAATTTTCCCAACATTTATAGGATTTCCCCGCCTTTTCAGCCCCAAAGAAAAAATACATTAAAAAAAAATCACCATCGCGTTCAATTTCATTTGCATACCGGTAATCAAAAGGAAATCTTCCTCCTTGCATCAAGAAACAATCTTTAACCCAATATTTATCTGAATTAGAAAAAAAAGTGTTTTTAAAGCGTGTTAAAGAAACTTAACTAAATCTTTAAAGTTTGGTCCAAACAAATGAAGTTGTCACTCTCAATTTATTTCTAAAGACATGGGGTTTTTTTTGGGGGGGGGGGGGGGGGTTGGGGGGGGGGTACGGTGCCCCGCACCCATTGGTGGGTTGGTTAACCACCATCTTCCGTCTGAACAAAGTCATTTTATTCAGATATTAGGCAGGGGAAAAATCCTTATAAACGGTGCAGAAAATCTCAATGTTCCTTAAAGATTCCTGATATAATGTTCGTCAAACAATCTTGATTCATTGCTTCAGGAATTTGGACCCTTTTAATTGTCTCTGAGTTCATTCAACACTCTCCTCTAAACATCCAAGATTCGCCATGCGAAAATGGGAAACTTAAGATGCGTTTGATCTGATTTTCTGCTGCTCCGACAAACAAAAACCTGATTTCCAAATTCGGCAGTCAGCAAAAGGAGAAAATCACATCTGCATTTTACTCATTTGATTTTAAATCGTGAAAAGGGGGTCCGCTCATATTAAGTCCGACGCCTCATAAGTCCGACGCCTCATAAGTCCGACAGCCGTTTTTAATTAATTGCACATTAACATTAAGGGTTGCACCAACCAACCTCAACCCCCCCCCCCCCCCCTCGAATGTGTAATTATTTACGCCCGTAGCATTAACCCTTGCGCCACAAACTGCGCCGGCGGACTGATCTGCTTCGTGATATGCCATACAGCTATATTACTGGAGAGCTAACTTCATGTACAAAGAGATGCCTGCTGGGCGCATGGCGCATCTCTTCGAACATGAAGTTAACGCGCTAGTAATTTAATATAGCTCTACAGGGTGAGTAAAAAAAAAAAACGAAACCCATAATGTCGGGACTTTTGTTTTATTGAAGTTCTGCATGTGCACTTTCAAAATCAAGGACATGAAAGCCCATTTCAAAAGCTTTCTTTTAGTACGAGAATCATTCAAATCACTCATGTACTTTCAAGTTACGGAATTTTAAACACAACCACCGTTTTAAAGTTCTGTCCACGGATCACAAAAAAAAGGTGTGCGTTCTTTCAGCAAAACAAAAACAATTCACATGCATCCCTCTGTGATTGGTTTTCGTTTTGCTGAAAGAACACTGAACTTATTTAGTGATCCGTGGACAGACCTTAAAACGGTGGTTGAATGTGTTTAAATTCCGTAACTTGAAAAGTACATGAGTGATTTGAATTATTCTTGTACTAAAAGAAAGCTTATGAATGGGGCTTTCATAATCATATATAGATTTTGGAAAGTGCTACATGCAGAACTTCACTAAAACAATGGTTCCTACATTTGAACATTTGGGTTTGGTTTTGTTTTTACTTATGAGGCGTCCGACCTATGAGGCGAAATAAATAAATTGTGTGCCTCATATTAAGTCCGACGCCTCAAATTTCGGACTTATGAGGCGTCGGACTTATGAAACGCCCCCCCCCCCCCAAAAAAAGGAGTTCTTAAAAAAAATCAGTTATTTTATATTTATACGGTTCAGACGAATGGCTTTTTGCATTAAAATGTTTCAGAGACTTTCATTCCATGACTGTGTGCTCATGTAGGCCTACATGTATTTGTAAACAAGTTTTACACGGTCATGTGCGCAAGCTTCGATCGCCGGGCCATGGTCTAACTAAAGGCCGGGCCCACGCGTTAATTAATTTATCAATATTGATAATAAGGGCTGACTTTTTGTAACAGCAAATAAGTCCACAACAAAAAGCCGTTACCATTGAGGCGTGCTCATCATTATTTGACTATACTTGGTTGCAGAAAAAAATAATTTCGACCGTTTTAATTTTCCGTACGTATGGTTTCAAACATTGATCTCCATATATACGTATACACAGACGGAGATCAATGGTTTCAAAGTACAGTGCGCCCTCTATACAATTGACGATTCATCATGGCGGGTCCTGGTGGTGGGATCGATCTGGAGCTGAAAAAGGTGATTAAAAACTTAAAATCATTTCCTCCATTTGTGTTGCAACCTGAAGCCACTTCAGCGGTTGTGTACAAGGTCAATGGAGAGTCAAGACAATTTTCTAAGTATTTCCTAACGGAAATGTTTCTCAGTCCTCAATCGAACTCCGGCGTTTGTGTATCGTCCGGGTTAGCCCCATAAATGTGGCCTATTTACTGGACTGCCTCCGTAAACATAGGCCACACATCCACATGTACAAAAATCGTGTCGACGGAGCCAAATTTTGATTTTCACATTTAGGCTTAGTTTGTAGGTTTTTTTTGCTTTAGAAGCATACTCGCCCTCTGTATAGGCTAATCAGAAAGTGCTGCCTTTTTCAGATGTATATTTTTCGTGAAATTTCCAGATTCATTTTTACACGTTTGCGTATCAAAATTTCAACATGAAATTTCACAAAATTAGACATCTGAAAAAGGCAGCACTTTCTGATTAGCCTGTAAAGAGGGTGAGTATGCTTCTAAAGCAAAAAACCCTACAAACTAAGCCTAAATGTGAAAATCAAAATTTGGCTCCGTCGACACGATTTTTGTACATGTGGATGTGTGGCCTATGTTTACGGAGGCAGTCCAGTAAATAGGCCACATTTATGGGGCTACGTCCGGGTCAGTGTGGCCGTCGGTAAGCTGCGCTGACTGGCTGAATTGCCTAAGGTTCAGCGCAGCATACCGACGGCCACACTAGTGGGGCTACATGTATATCGTTCGGTGCCCCAAATTCGCGCTTCCCAGTATTCGCGCAACCAACTAGCTTTCTCGCCTCGTATCTTTTTTTTTCACACAACACGGACTGACGTCAAATCACCGTCGATGATCCATCGTCACATCGCCTTTCTTCTCGATGCAGTTATGCAGAAATCAAAAGCTTTTCCGAGAAGTAATTTGAAAGAAATCAAAGAGAATGTAAATTAGGGCTAGCATATTTCCGTACTGACTTTTCCGAGTAACTTGGACCCAACTTATTGCCTTTTTAACATTCGGACATGGAGTGGCGATAGTGGGGTCCAAGCTAATGGTTATATATGCCGAGCAACACAATTCTGTCATTGACCCAAAAACCCAACATTGCCCAACAAAAACATCAGATTTCACCCTCAAAACGGCCTCCAATTACTAGATACGCCACCTGAGGTACAAGTAGACATCGATAATTAAGATGGTTGTACTGAAGTTTACTTACAATCCGGATGAAAAGTGAAATTTCCTGTTCAATTCCCAGAGCTCCCCTCGCGATCGTGAACACGTTAAATTTCCGACTCGTGTTTGAATTGCGATGTGGTCTTCATGCCCAGCATTCATTCGATGGTTCCCGTATCCCGAGTGCGATTCCGTTACCGAGCGCGCGCGATGCATCAATTTTGATAATGAGCAGACTGGATCACGTTTGTAAACACAAATGCATTTCGAACGATGAAAGGGAGTCGGGAACTAGCTTGAACCGGTTTCCATCCATAAAATCTGCCCTAGTTTTCGGTACCGAGTTTGTTTGTTGGAATGAATATGCCTTAAAATATATTTCTGTCGGAATAAGACCTAATCATAATGTTTAAAGTACCCAAAAAGTAGGCCAATAGTAATACCTATTTTTTGTTTTTATTGAAATGATGTGTATCATGCAACCATGTGTCGAGGCGGCACGATTGGCCACGGTATGGTCGACTGCGTGCAGGCGTGCGCACCTGTATAATTGATTGATTGATCACAGGTGTATTAGAATGAGCAATAAATGCCGGAGAACATTGTTACAGAAGAGTGGTTTTGTTATTTTTTTTATGGAGGGGTCATTTCAAATATATATTCGTCCATGTACTTAAAAATATAGCCACGTCATACTAAAGTTATATTGCAAATGTTTCTATTTTGGGAGAATTTATATATACATTTGTAAAATGTTATGTAATTGGCACACGGTTGATTTTCAGAAAAACAAACATTCTCGGAACTCTTTCCATGCATAGGATTTAAGCTTCTTAGACTTTTGACAAAAGTATGTATATTATAATATTTGTGGATTTTTTTTATTTACCTCAAATTTTCAATTATGATATGATTTTAAATATTTTGCATGCAGTTGTTTTTACCAAAAATCGAAAGAAATTCATTTATTTCACATTAAACAAACGTGTATTTAGTAACAATGTCGGATGGCAAACAAAAGTTAGTTTATCAAACTACAGTAGAGACCAAAGTTATGCACATAAACTTATCCTTTATTCAACAAACATCGATCCACATTGTTTTAAGAAGTAGGACACAATGGAGACTCCATAGAATGACGTTTTCCGTTCGTGTGCGAATTATGGGCACGAAACTTTTGTGGCAGCCAATTTGACTCATCTGCAGACGACGACTTTCTTTTTCATTGCGGACCATGTGGACAAAATTTTGAGCATCG